AATTAGAGGGCACCTAAAAGTAGTATTTCACTGAGCTGCAACTGTTGGCGACTCAAACTTGACTTTAAATCGTGAGAAAATACTGACATTTTCAGTTGTCACAGTGAATTCTGAGTATTTGCAACCACCTATCTAGAAACCATGCAGCTGCATTTGGCAGTCAGTTTTTAAAAACTATAGCCTTGTTTTGTGTGCACGGCTTGCAACAGTGTATTGTTGACTGTGCACTTCATTTCATTGTCCACACTTCCACCTTGGCAGCCACCTTCATGTTTATGATTTGATCAACTAAAGTGGAAGACAGACAGATTTGGACCAGCTTTGTAAATAATTAATTATTATTCATCGTCAGTGTGGTTTTTAGACATGGACATGTTTTCTGAGAGCTCTCGTGCACGTGTCAAAATTCAGTTCGTGCACTCTTAAGGTGAGTTGGAGATGCCTGCGATGACTTTGTCACTATTTTGACAGAAAATATTTTGCACAGTTTATTTGAACATATTTAATATTCAAACAACACTGTGAGCCTTTGTGACTCAAGAGAGGAAATTCTGAATCTTTGTGAATTCAATTCAGCTCTTGCAAAAAATACTTTCTTATTGCCAAAGGGAAATTAATTGTTGTTGTAGCTCATCATCCTGGTTTCATTAAAGAGTTGTTATAAATGCTGTTTGTAGGCAGGAAGGGCCTGCAGCAGTCTGTCCCACAGAGGATCCAAAGAAACTGGCTGCAGATACCGATCCATCCACCTGGACCCAGCAGACCTCTCGGTCCTCTTGGGCAGCAGGACTGCCTAAATGCTGGGCAGAACTCCTCCCCGAGTGATGGCCACTCCTCCCAGCAGCTTGTCGAGCCCCTTGTTCCCACAGATGGAACTGCAGTTGTCAAGGGACGATCCTGGTCCTCCTGCTGTCACAAGCTGCGTTTTCCGCCAGCTCCAGGATCTCTGCAGTCAGGCACTCGAGCACTGCCACCAGGTAGATGGGAATGCATCCACAGCACCTCCTTTTCAACTCATCTGGGATTAGGAGCTGTAGCTGAGGTATTATTTTAGTTTTTGAGATGTTAATCAGCAGCTGTTGTTATGGTTACATATCATAACAAATGTCCAAAAGTAAAAAAAGGTTTCAGTAAAAGTATTTCCAGCTGCACAGCTTCTGATACCAGAGGAAGTAATCATCTGAAAAAAGCGATTTACATACAGAAAAAAAGAGTAATTAAAAGTTTTCAAAAGCAAAATTTCAGAATGAATGTAACAGAGCTATACTCCAACATCCAGCCACAATGAGCAGCGCAATTCTAGAACAGTCTAGAACGTATATTACAGAGACTCCCTCAGGAATGACGTTTGCCAACTAGCCTCCAACAGTCGCAGCATAACGCGATACTACTTCAACCCCCAGCCTCAACACAAAGAACGAGGTCTCAACAAACAACTGGGGAGATATTTTACCATCTGTCTCTTTGGAATACTACGCCAACATTTTAACAATGTTGCATATGCACACGGGTCTTATTTTCACTCATTTAAACATATTTATCAATGCTGATCATGACTAGAGACTTTAAGATCTGCCATTTGGATTGCTGAAAGAGACATTAAATGTTCTTCCCCACCTTTATTGGGTTACAGTTGAATTCGTACTAAAAGATGCACTACATGGTTGGAAGGTGCCACATTGCCAAATTTGTGTGAGGGCTTCTTTATCTGTGCGCAATAGTATAGGCTTGCAGTTCGAACCAAATCCTGATCGGTTTGCTTAATGTTTGTGAGAAATTAGACAAACTCTGGTAAAATGTAGACAGCTGTCTGAAGGATTCCTTTAGTATCTTAAAATAGCACCTGTCAGAAAAAGGCATCCATAGTTTTGATTAAAATCACCAGTTTTTACAGTGGGATATTGAAAAATTACATAAAAAATACAAACTTTGAAGAGGAGACTGGAAGTAAAGATTTACTGACATACTCGAATGATTTTCTAAAAACCAAGCAGTTGTGCTTTTAATGCTGCTGAATGGACTAACACCCACATGACAACTGTCAGTTTCAAGTATCTCTCTCACTCTTCTCTCAGCCTATTGTCTGTCCACCCCCCGACTACTCCATTTCCTCTTCTGACAATGGTTAAAGTGAACTGTGTGTGCCGATGAGTCAGCAGGAGTGGTGGGAGTGAGATATAAAACAGAGCGGTTGGTGGTAAAAAAGATGAAAAAGAACAAAAACTAAATAAAGAAAAGAAAGCGAAACTGTCCACAAATTTCCCTCACTAGAGGTGGGCACTGCATTCCTGCTGACAGTCTTGTTTTCATCTCCTTTACTACTTGATGAAGGAGGAAACAAAGTGGTAGGCAATGAGGACAAAGACATCACTGGGAGTATCCTCAGCAAACGATACGTCAAAAGCAAATTATATCCTTGAAAATAAATGTGTATGTTTCAGGTTTGGCCAATAAGAGTTTGTTGATAAACTGGCAGCCAACTAAATGACAGAAATGAGTGTTTTTATTGTTGAATGTCTGGACTTGGAGCATTCAGCATCAGTCTCTAAGTACTGTTTCAGAGGAAATTAAAAAATGTAACTATATATATATATATATATATATATATATA